AGATATGCATGACAATCGCAGCTTCTGTCGAATCGCGATCTCGATTCCATTTCGATTTATCGTGCAGCCCTACCTCAAGCTCTTATCCCTTCCTCTTTCGCCACTTCCACTTTTTTCAGCACACATAAAAACTACAACTGCCAGACTGTGATTCATCATGCTTTTTTGTTTACCACTAGCGCATGCTGATGACGTTTTATTTTTCTATAGTAACGTGTGTCGTAGTCTACGAGTCAATAGGTGTCATCATCGTAGAGTCTGCATGCATGTCATACCCAAGTTTATCAGATCCATGTCGCACAGTGTGATTTGCAATGATCTTTAGGGTTGGGTATCGTTTTTTTTTTTTTTCGATACCGGTGCCTTTAGAATTAATTTACACACGCAGTCGCTTTCTCACTAATGCATTCATATTAATTAGGGCTGCACGATAAATCGCATGCGATATTTAACGCGCATCTTATCAGTAAAGCCGGGGTACCGGGTTTCGGTTCCCAACCCTAATGATCTTATAGGATTGCTAAAATCGTGCAATGTGTTGAAGGCTTAAAGGGTTAGTTCACCACAAAATGAAAATTATGCTGCGTTTTACTCACCCTCGAAGCATCCTAGGTGTATATGACTTCATAATTTTCATTTTGCGGTGAACTAACCCTTTAAGGTGCATTCACGCCATACCGTGATTACGAGATACAAACTTGTAAAGAGCGTTCACGTCCTTGTAGAACTCGTAATTACAGCTTGTGAACTGGGAGTTTTCTGAGAGCTACAACTTGTACCACCTCACCACCTCCGACTCATTTAGCGCTATGTTTACGCATTGATAGTGGGATAGTTCAGAGTCCAAGGATGTGAACAGCTTCAACTATAGAGCTGTGCAATTAATCGAAATACAGTTTTGATTTCGATTTCGGTCTCCAACGATTATGAAAATACAATAATCAAGATAAAACGATTATTGCACCCCATTCCACGGCGCACTTTTGCTCCTTCATAAAAGCCCAATTTCACGTGCGAATCAGTAAAATCTTGTAACATGACTTTCGCAAAATAGGACGTGCTTGATTTATTAAAGTTTATTAGATTCATTCATGTTTTAAAAGCGTGAAAGGGCACTTGTGCTGTTCCTCAGGAGGATTTCTGTGCAGGCGCTCAAAAACTGAACAGAACACCGACATGTAAAGTCAACTTTTAGCTGAAGGTGCGTGTGCCTAAACGGTAAAATACATGCCAAAATGTGTCAAAATGCGGCGCTTGGTGATTATTCACATAAACACTCGTCGGTTATGTAATAAGTGAATGTAAACAGTTGAGAATGAAAATATGTGCATAACAGTAAATTGGAGCCGTGTGGCTCTTAAAGTGACAGCAGGCTAATATTCCTGCTGCCGACTGTGTGCTGAAAATGTGTACAATTTAACAATTTACTCACGGAGCCACATTGAAATCTCAATATCTCTTAAAATGAACCATAGGGCCTTAAAAAATAGGATAACAAAAGAAAAGTGTGTTAAGAACTAAAATCTAAAGGGATATTAAGATATATTTAAATAATTCTTGAGTTACAGGCATGCGAATTTTGTAAAAAAAAAACACGAAGTGCTTTTCCCCATTTTTGAACTGTCACCATTGGCAAATAATGCAATAAAGATTGCTGAAGTCAACAGATTTTGCTAATAGACCTACCAGTCTCTGTGTAAAAATAACATGATGCTGTCATCTTTCTAAAGTCATTTTTACCCCCTGTAATTTGGTTTCAAATTTCAGTTGAAAAGTGAATAAAAAAAAACAAAATAGGGGATTACTCAGTAAATATACATCCATGACATGAGCCAGGGAAGTTTCTGAAATTTGGTTGATTTGACAAGGAATGACCAAAATGTAAATCGTATAAAATGTATTACTATCATTGCTACGATTGTTACAGTATTATAATTATGATTGATCAAGTTTTGTAACTAATTTGAAAATATTATGCCGCACAGTAGACTTGTTGTAAGTTCCTTGTTGGTCTTTATTGTCTGAAGATGTGAATGTTAATCTAATCATGTATTAGATCTTGAGGCTGAATAAAAGTGTGTTATAAACTGCTCACGTACAGCTTTAATGGTTTCATCCAGCAGCATTACGTATATCTCGAGCTGCAGATGTCTGTGCCTCCCAGTTAACAGCACACTCTCTAGCTGCAATCAGCCGGGTACATTAGTAATTAGTTATTTTTTTTAATATTTTATCCAACTAGTATACAGTATTCTTATTACAGTGACCTGATGTTAAGAGTAAATAAACGTGAATTGAATTGCACAAACTAACAAGCTTTTCAACCATTTGATTATCAACCCAGATCTTCAGCCAGTATGCTTATTTAAAATATTTTGAGTTACAAATCTGAACCATTTCTATTTGGGGCACAGTTTGGGGGAATTGTTGGGCACATGTGTTTCTGTGTAAATCTAAAGTGATTCACATTTCCTAGTATCAAAAAGCCCAGTATGATGGATAAATATCATTGATTTTTTTTTTCTAACAACTCAACTGGTTACATATGAGATTTCTATGACTGTCCTACTTAATGTCAGATCAAACATCTCTGCAAAGCAATCTTTTCACTCATCTGTTCAGCATCTTGCTCTGGTTTTCATTATAAATATCTTTTCCTGTCTTTCAGCTGAAGATCTGAAACGGAGTTCACTCGAGAGGATCACTGTCACCGTGGACGGAGATGAAGGTAATGGTCTTGAACTTTAGAGCCGCTGTATAGAGATGATATGGAGTAGGTAGAGCCCTATGATTTCCGTGAAGCGGGAAACGCGGACAGAATCGCGGAATCCAGTCATAAAAATGGAATTTACTGTTTAACACGGAATTTTTCAAAGTTTGGATAAATTAATCAAAAGTAGGTCATTACACTTAAATCGCGATATGGACTAGTATCTGTAAATATTAAGCCGCAAAAAGACTTTAAATGTGAATCCTAAATGTTCTGCATGTGTTAATGAATGGAGCTTAAGCACGGTTTCGTTTACTACACGTACTGAAGCGCACGCGACGCTCGTGGTGATTAGGACACAAATACATGAACTACCTCTCCAGATCTGCTCTGAGAGTCACTTCCTGAGCATTTTACCATTTCATTTGAGTAAAACTATTGTCATATCATATACACACAGAAGCGTCAAGGTATTCACGGCAACCCGTCAAAATAAAAGTTTGGTTTAACTGGAATAAATTATGTCAGAAATATATCATTGTGCAGTAGAATGTACGTAATACTACTACTACTACTAATAATAAATTATTAAAACATACTTTTTTTTATGGAATAATCACACAATATTTCTCCCATTAAAACATTTTTTTTTTAATGGAATAATCACACAATATTTCTCCCATGTTTTAATTTTAATAGCAAACCCCCTTTGTTTGCCAAAAATAAAGTTTGTTTTCATTTGATTAAAAGATAAAATAAATTACTGTTTTATGTCTTCATTTGATAACCAGAAAAATTAAAATACACAACACAGAATTAAAAAAAAAAATTCATAGGGCTATTGTAAAAATACATTATAATAAATTAAGTTGTTTTGCATTCAAATAATTAGACATGCTTAAACACAGAATTTGGTAACAATAAAACGGAACGTGAGAAAAACATAAAATATTTCATAGGTCCCTAAAAATGTAATTTCTTAAACTTTTAATAGACTGATGTTAAAGGCACAATATGTAATTTTTCGCCGCTAGAGGGCGCGTATTCAAAATAAACAGAAAGAAAGGCATAGTTTGATGATCAGTGACTGAGTGTGGAATCATGGGAGTTGTGGTCTTCATCCGCACAGCCGATGCAATCCGACGGGACTCGGGCAGAAATCATGTTCATGGATGAGCTAATGATTTATTAACGTAGTAGAATGAAGCAGGGTGAGGCTGAAAGCCGTCGAGGCGAAACGAGGCTTTGAACGAGCATGACACACGGCTGGAAAGCAGCGGAGCTTTTATTATGCCACAGTTGACCGCTTCCGCTCCTTCCGGTCGTGCGTATTTGGGTTAAAGCAGCGCTGTTTTATCATACTACATACATTTGAAAGTTCTGTTATAATGCTACTCTGTGCGGTCGTCACCGGTCTATTAAAACGCACAACATATTTCCATGTTTTCTACAAAACAAAAACAAAAACCGGAAATCGAGGGGTTATGACGTCATTGGCAGGCAACACATTGACACTATGGACACGGTCCGTGTCACTAGCTAAAATTGCTTATTTCTCAGGATTTAAACATTCTTCGAAACATTTGGGATAATGTAAGTACACAAGTCAGCAAAATATATAACACCGTTCTAGTGGTTTTTGGATATTTTAATAAAAAAATCGTACATATTGTGCCTTTAAATAGTATAAGTTTAATGATTTTAATTAATTAGACATGCTTTTTGATTAATACAATTTAATTTAACCATTAAAAAGGAGTCCAGAAAAAAAGAAAAAGAAAAAAAAACGGAATCCAGAAAAAATAAAACGGAATTTGGAAAAAAATAAAACGGAATTTCGGAAAAAATTTAACAGATTTCATAGGGCCCTAAGTAGGGCAGATGATTAAAGACTTGAAATGGCTCTAGACGTTAGGTTACGCCACACTGAGAGAAAACCTTGGTTTGCTATTTGCTATTGCCATTTGTTTGCAGTTTGAGTTGTGGAGAGACGTTCTCATTAAACCGCACTATTTGTATTTTTGGATTGTAAGTGCATTAGTATTCTTGGTCTTCCTGGAGTTGGAAGACAAATGCGTAAATTTATGCTATGTTGATTTTTGATGAATGCAGCATCCTTTAATTTTGAATTCATAGCATCTATAAGATGCTCATTGCCTGTTTTTAAAGTTTAAGCCTTAGTATTAAAGTTTGTTTTGGTGATGTAACTAAAAACACTTGTATTTTAAGTAGTATTTTATTGGATGTTGGTCTGTGTCTGCTGTTTTTGTTTATTCAAGAATTTTTCCCGTGTAGCACTTAGGTATTTTTATGGTCACAGTGTTGAGTTTTGCATAGTAATTTTGCTTTATGATGATAACTTCGAAGTGCAAACATTTTCCTACAATTGTGCTGGTGCTTAACTTTACTCTAGATTGGTGCTCGGTACAGAAAACTTGAACACTTTGCTCTGTTTTCTTTTTCTTTTGGTCGGTTTCTATCTATAAAATCATCATTGTAGAAAATGTGATACCAGTTGGCTGTGCAGTTGTTTTTAATGCAAATCATTTATGCTTTGCTTTTGTTTCCATGGTGACTAGCGACCAGATCGTTACCTGTTGCATTAAAGTGAGGTCTTGTGAGTGCACTTAATGTATATTATATTGACTAAACCAAGTTAAATAGCAAACATCTGTTCAGCGAAAGAGAATAATCCAGTGGATAGTGAAACTAATATTGAAACTAAAGCATGCTTTGTGAGGGCAAGACTAGTCTTTAAATTCACACTTGATGTTAACAGGCATTTCATGCACACGTGATCAGATTAAGTAAAGCATAGTCATTGCATGTATATGAAACATAAAGTGCATCCTACGGCATGTTAATACCAAGTGTAAATGCCGGGGCCTACTTACACAAGATACCGAGCTCAGTCCGTAAATGGGAAGATGATAAAAATTCATAGAGGCGAAGTGGGCACTGAGTCACGCTCCATTAGCAAACTCCAACACTTTTTGCATCCACCCCTGTAACATATGGTCATGGCCAGCTGCAAGGTGGACAGCATGAAGATTATCACAGAGATCCATCATGCACTAGCGGTCAGGTCGGTGGCGGTGCTCGGATTCTCTGTTATTTGAATGATCATAAGTGGTACAATGAGATTTACCCATCTGCTCCATTGACTAACGGCTGTCTTTTGAGGACTAACCCGAGACTCTTGTTCATGTTGTTCATTAAGCTGCTCATTTGACTGTGAGGTTGTATTGCTCTTTTAGTGAGAGCATTGGGTATTTACTTACATTTTGGAACAGTCTCGCTTGCATAGATTTTCAAACACTAGATTACTTTTACATTGCAGCAAAAGTTCAAATCGTTTCAATGCAAACCCTCTACATCTATATCAACAAATTAACAGCATGAACTCATGTCTGTAGGCACCTGTAGTCATGTAGTAGACGTACAGTGTACTTTAAATCACTTTTTACACAAAGAATCTACAAACTCAACCTGATGTTCAGTCAAAGATTTGTCAGACTTGTTATCGGCATAAACTTTGGTCCACTTTGCTTCTTATTCTGGCCATAAATCAGTCACTTAAATGGTAAAGGGCTGTCTGATTGACATTTAAAGTGAACAGTTACACAATGTTTTGTCTTTGCATGTCATCATGGCTTTATATGAAATAGTTGATATCACAGTAATGAACCCGGTTGAGGAAAAAAGTTGGTCCAAATTAGACTTTGTAATCTTCATTCAAATACAATAAGTAAATTATTTCTCAGACGTAACACCAAAAACGGAATATTTCATGAAAAGGCATAATAATGCAGTTTTGCTCAGGCATTTTTAATTTACTAGCTAGTAGTGTTGGGTGTAATGCATTACCAAGAATTACTTTTCCCTTACTTTTTAAATTTATTTATTTTGTTCTTTCTGTAATGTAATGTATGTATAGCTATGTAATTGCTTTATATACTGTATAGACTATAGAACAATTCTATATAAAACAATTGTGGATTTAAGATCTAATGTAAAAATGTTTGTTTTAATGTAACCTTCTCCCTTTAAATTTTGTCAGTTAAAGAATAATTTTATATTATATTATTTATTTGAAAGAATTAACAGCTGATTCATGTCTACCTTTGTATTATTAAAATGTTCGAGGCTGATATGGGATTTAGAAAGCAATTGAGAATAAGTAATGCAGTATTTGTTTGAGAAAGTACAGTAATCTAATTACACTGTTAAAGATGTAATTAGTATCAAGGAATAGCTTTTTTAGAGTAACTAGAGTACGTAGAGCTGCACAATAATGGTTAACTGATTATTTTACTCAAAAATTAGCTATAGTTCCGATCATTAATCTGATTGTTCTCATTGGCTTTATTACAGTTCGTCAGAGAAGGTTTGCTGGCAGATTTAATCGAAACAAATATGCAACTCGTTGAGCTTGTTGAGGCTTGTTAGCAATGCAATATAATGCACGTTAATTGAAATTGGATAAATAAACAGTGGGCCAATATCGCTGACGATCGAGAGGAGCAAAAATCACGTTTACGATTGAAATGCGATCAATCGGGCAGCCCTACTACTAAGCGTCTCAAACAGCATTTGAGCGTCTTTTAAAAGATGTGATGCCACTAATCTGACAAACTTTGGCAAATCCAGCGATTCGTTCTTCCTCAGTTGTTGAATCAGCCTCATATCTTGTCGTTTTCTGGCCGACTGTTGCATCCCTGCACTCCTGCAAGTGGCATAGCTGCCAGTTTCAGTCTTCACTTGCCTTTTTTCTATGTAGTATGCAGCAGATAACAGACTGTTCAGACCTCAATCAGATCTCTAGCCAGCTGAGTGAGCATGACCGGTTGTTGTAGTGTCTTGGCATGTAATTATATTACATCACATCCTTAGTCATTTGAGCGCTGTGAGGGAGACTGGCAGTGCCAGGGTGTGTGCTAATTTAAAGATGTTCATAAGAGACACTCCCGGAGGAGCCGTTTACACTTGCCGCACTCACGCAGCCTGTTTCGTAATGC